CATTACTAATACCAAACGAGAATGGCAACAGCACAGGTGATAGATAGTGGAGAGCGCAAGACATGTGATGGCACCAGCATAAAAAACACCAAACACCATGGCATCTTTCCAAAGCCATTGCTGTGATGGACGCGACGTTCCTAAAAGAAGATCCACCGTGTGGGGTATCAATACGTTGGGTTCCAAACCATCCGACTTGTGAAGGTCATTCTCTGTGATTTGATTCCATGACGATACGTTGATCCCATTCACAATTCCAATGACAACCACTACAAAAAACAACACGACTCCAATCAGGTGCGTGTACACATTGCCTGTTTCGTTATGCAAGTAGAATAAACTCTTGAGGCATCCTGCATAAGAATTGGTAATTCTTCTATATCCCAAGTATATAAATGCGTTATCATTATACCATGATGGCATATGTCGGGCATGAACACAGTATTGATTGATGCAATTTGTGGTTGGATTGGCAGCGTATACATCATAGTCGGTCCATGATGCATGCACTCGGTTATGATCAATCAAGTGAGGTGAAGACAAGCAAGGTGGTGAAAGTAGAGTGTCTTGAGATGCATCACGATGGGGTGTGTCATTGTCATGATCAGCCATCATATCGTGCCGATTCATCAAATCTGAAGCCAATAGCTCATCCTTTGCAACACATGATGGTTGCATCATGACCGGTATAAGAGATGGCGGAGATAATCGATACTTGCTCTCGTTTATATGCTTCGAGTTTGATACTGGTGAGATGGAATCATTGATACTTTTATCTGGTTCAGAAACGTTATATTCCATAATACGTCGCTCTCGAAGAATCCTTGGCGAAGACATCAACTCTTCATCTAGTCCAGTAAAAGAAGTAGTCGTGAGTGCATGAACTGCATTCTCATACAATGCAAGTCCCATGTTGGCTACAGAATGTGCTGCTGTTGTACCAGTAGTAAGCTTGTCGTTTGATGTCGAGACGGTTGAATGACCATCGCTTGACCTTCTAGTTTTACTGATATTCAATGGTTGAGGTCTTCGTCTAGCATGTTGAATACTACCATCATGAGCAGTAGTATGAAGTACACCCGTTTCATCGATTAGAGTCTCATCGTGTACAGATACTTGTCGACCCTTCTCACTCTCCGTAGCACCATTCACCATTCTCGAATGAAAAAGAGAAGAAACTGTATCCTGTTGACTGTCATAAAACAATGCATTCTCATCATGAGCAACTTGATCCATTCGAAATCGTCAGATTCTGATTATTGCTTATCAAAAAATGATCTTTATGCCGCACTTGTATTCAATAAAATGGTTCATGATCGTACAGTCTTGTTGTGCTTTGAAACCAACAAGAAAGGGTCGTGCGCTTTCATGTTGAGATGTGCGTTGTTTGCATTGTTCATTTTATGATACGGTACGAATTATGGGTTGGTTCTTGTTTAGCATGGTTTTACATTGTAGATGACGAGGTTATAACTGGATTCATGTAGTACAGTCCAACTTTACAGATTCTATTCTTTGTAGTGTCACTCGTTCGCGTTCAAGACCAAGATTACAGTTTCAAAGTTGTTTTCATGTCAATCACCATAAAACATCTAATAAACTCGAACCATTCTAGTAAATGTGATATAAACAATGGTGGTTAGATGTCAAGTATTTGATTGTGGGGATATCAATCGGATGATTAAAAGTATGTAGTATGAATGGGTTTATTGGAATAAAATTTAGAGGCTTTCCAAAAACGCTGAATGGATTTCCATGGCTCTTAATCTTGCTTCGAGAACTGCCTTGTCTCGTTCAAGCATCCATATTCTTCGCTCAACTTCGATTTGTTTTGTGGTATCACCTTGCTCAGGTTCACAACCATATGGATGTGCTCCCATGGCATAAGGCGCGGAAAGAGGTCCACAGGGTATGTTTTGAGGTTTGATTGTGAGTTTTAGTTGTGGTGATGTGGATGGATCTCCTATTGAAGGAGCCACGCCATTCAACGTGTCTGAAACAAATTCATCGCGGTCAGACTGAGCTGGGTTTGGAAGAATGGGTGGACAATGACTCTGCATCAATGGTGCTGAGGGTGCCGAGGTGAGGGTATAGGGTAAAGAGTACCGCGGCGAACAAAGCATCGAATGACATCGAGGACGTTGTAAAGGTGGATGAGCAATCATTGGGGAGCAAGATTCAGTCTCATCGTTTTCTGCTGCAACTGCAGCTCGATCGTTTAGTTCAAGTGGGATAGAGGGTGACAGCACCAATGGTGGAAGCGGGATAGACAAGGCTGGTTTTTTCCCTTCGTCACTAATGTCTGATGTCTGTACAATCGTATGATTTGGATTGCTTGAATCATGGACTAGATTTTTGTTTTCGGATACAGGAAACACCCACTGTGATATATCAGGAGCATTGGCTTGAGCCGGTCGAGCAACAGTGTTGCCGACAGCAGGAAACCTAAAGTCTCGTAAAGGATCTTTTCCTGCATCACCATTGTTACAAAGTGTCAGTGGGTGAGAATAGGTAGGCGGAACAGGTAAACCACCCAGTGGTCTTAACACAATTTCTCCAGGCTGAGATACTACTCTGCTATGCAGTCCTTTTCGAGGTATCGATCCACCAAATTGTTGCGACGTATTTACGGACGAGGTTGAAAAAGAGGTACGCACACTAGAGAAAAATCCACTGTCTTGCGACATACGCCGATTGAAATATCCACCTGGAGACTGATTCATGCTGCATTGTTCTCCTGGAATGGCTAGATTGCCTGAAGCAGAATTAGACGACAGCCAGGGTTGAGTTGGAGTTTGTTTAAAATGGAACGCTGATGGTGTATGCCCAGGAGATGACCAAGGTGACATGGAAAACATATTCAATGGATCCGTATCGGTATCACAGGGTGCTCCATTATTGCATATGGATAATGAATTACTTCGACAAAATTCGAATCGGAAAAAATCGGAAACAAGAATCTCGGCAGCAGTAGGTCGTGCAGCAGGATCTCCAGAAACAAGCATCCGAATCAGATCACACTCTTCAGGATACATTTCCAAAACTTTTTCAGGAATAGATCCATCTCGCTTGAGTGTATCCAATACAACCACTCGCTCCATAGCCGTGTCAAAAACACATACAAGCTCAAGGAGAATAACGCCAAGAGAGTAGATATCAGATTTGGTTGTGCAAAGCTGCTCTTCGAGAATCTCAGGCGCCGTGTAAAAATACGTTCCATGGCTTGTGCTAGATTCAATCACGTCACAAGAGGAGATATCATTTGAGAAATACTTTGAAGCATGCAGCGGTTGTCCGTTGTTATTGGGTTCGCCCATTATGATGATGTGGTCCGACACACTTTTAGCCAGCCCAAAGTCGCCAAGATAAACATGAGACCCTTTGAGAAAGATATTTTCTGGCTTAACATCCCTGTGGATGATATTTTGTCCGTGAATATGAACCAATCCACTCACAAGTTGAGCAAAAATCAGCATATTGTGAGCACGATCCACTGTACGACGAGATTTGATCCATACACGGAGATCTTGACATGCATAGAGTTGCATTTGAATATAAAGGGTGGAGTTATGGGTATGTAAAGAATTTGGACGCAGTGAATCTTCATCCAGCCCAGCTTCTTGAAAATGATCATGGTCTTCATCATGATCATCACATTCTGAAATGGATTCTGAATCTTCACCTTCTGTCAAGTCAGACTCAAGACCTGCTTCGGATCCGTAGTCAAAACTAACGTCAGATAGACTAATTGAGGACCTGGATGATCGCGAGGGTGGGAACAAGCCACGTAAAGAGTGGGAACTGTTTTTCAGATTGCTAGTCAAGGGTTTTTCAGGAGCTTCAATCCAAGCATTGTAGTATCTGACTACATTGGGATGATTGGATAGCATGGCAAATGTTTTTACTTCCCGTAAAAGCCTATCATCAGCCTGAGAAAGTCTGCGCGTATGCCCACTGCCAAACGAAGAAGCAAAAGCTAATGGAATAGGAGAAACAGATGTAGAAGTAGTTGACCCTGACAAGGATGGAGAAGAGTTTCGCAAAGAGAGCAAGGATGCAGATGCAGATGCTCGATCTCGATCAAAAAGAGCAGACGAGTGTGTCAAGTTTTGCAATGCTTCTGGTGGACAATTGAGTTTGACTACAAAAACACATGAGTCCAAGCAGGGTTCAAGTATTACATTGTATAAGCAACAAAGTACCTTTTTTAATGGCGTATTCTTGGCCATCCAAAAGATTGCGTGCTCGATACACGACACCAAATCCGCCACGTCCAAGCTGTTCAATTTCTAATAGTATTATCAGTATAGAGTTTGAATGACAGGATTCAAGCAAGAAAAACTACCTTCAAACTCAGTGCGATATCTTGATGGTGGAGTAGAGGCAGTTCGATACAAGTCAGACTCTTTGATAGAGCATGCGATGGTTTCTTTGCTTGCATGCGCAATATCTCTGGTGAGATTCAAGCCATTTTCCAGTTCACTAGATCGTCTACGATCAGTTTTAAAGGTGTTTGGTTTGAGAGTAAAGACAAACACCTGACCACCTTTGGGAAGCAGGGGTGTGGAAAGTATAGATGAATCCAGTGATGCAGTGTGAATACGAACGGGATGAGTTGATCCATTGGGCATATGCAATGTATGTTTTAATGGATGTGCTTGCAATGAAGGTCGTGGTGGTTGGGAAGATAAGCTACAAGTGGGTTGAATAGGGTTAGTGGTTGATATTTGATCTTCATTGTGATCGGTTGCATCATCAGACGAGTCTTCTGAATCAGAATTGTCGTGAAGCAGACCACTCATGGTAAGGATGAGATTTATAGATGGAAGGAGAGTCGATGCATTCAATGGCAGTGTGAGTGGGATTGAAGTAGTTCTGGGTATGCCATTGCAAGTAGATCCAAATGAAGAGTTAAAACAAGAATTGGAGAATATGGCAGTAGTTTCAGTTGAAGTTTGATGACGGTATACCAAGAGAATGGGAACATGAATAGAATTGTACGCAGCAGCAACAACAGTAGAAATCAACGATGAATGGGTAGGATAGGCTTTTAGTTCTAGTTTATGATGCATATGTGATGATGGCAATATAGACGAGTCGATGCTCGAAACGGGTTCGTGTTTTGAGTTGTCCTTGAACGAGTTTTCAAAGTTGGACTGAAGAGGAATACTGACGTTGGAAGTGCATACGTTATGAGAGGGTTCAAGTGAGTTTGGAATCAAGTGAGGATTATACATCATGGCATGGTCTTGCTTCATTGATGAAATCCTTCTCTTGGAGTGAATGTTCGGCATGGTTGCTCTCGGTACGTTGGAGTACTTTAAACTCGTTCAGTACGCCTCTTGTACACGTGACTTACAACGCCGCTATTTGCTTGGACTCAAAGCATGGGAACTCATCACCCATCCAAATCTGATATTCACAATTCAAAACCCTATTTTATATATAGATTTACTTTAGTCATCTTAAGCATCATCTGCATGAACTGGCACTGCTTCATTGTCGCCTTCTGGAGCTGCTGGAACAGAATAGGCTGCACGAACAATTAGAGTACGATCCTCAACCTTGACATCACTCACATCAGCCAATACTCGTTCTTGCTCTGATGCCGACTCCATCTCCATAAACCCATATCCCTTGCTACGTCCAAACTTGGTCATCACAACATGCGCACTCTTGACCTTGTAGTCTTTGAAAATAACCAGAATATCATCGGACGATACCTTGAATGGAAGGTTGCCAATAAAGATGGTAGTTTTGCTAGGCTCTCCTTCACGTATACGAGGAGGACGTGGAGGACGAGGAGCACGTTTGGCTGATGCTGCTGGTTTAGACTCTTCATCTGCAGACTTTGCATGTTCACCCTCTACAACAGGTTTTCTTTCATCATGGCCAGATGCTTTGGCAGACTTGGGTTTGCGAATACGCTTGGGTTTGATAGCATCCCCATCAACCAATCCTGAACCCGCAGCTGGAGCGATAGCAGTCTTGGCATGTCCATCTTCAGTCTTGACAGCCTCTTCACCCGACTTGGGTTTACGAACGCGAGGACGAGATGTCTCGATTCCACCTTCAGCAGCAGGAACATGAGGTTTGGATTGAGCAATCTCAACGTTGATGGCACGACCATCAAACTCCTTTTGATGGAACAGATCAACAGCAGTTGTAGCCTCGGCTGTTGTCTTGAACGACACAAACCCGAATCCCATCGAACGGCCTTGTTTGCGAATCAGCTGGGTATCAACACTGGTAAAAAGTTGAGCCCAGAATGGAACAAGACATCAAAAAGGGAATAGTAATGAGTATGAGATTTATAGATGATCAAATAATTCAAATTCAGTCTAGACAACCAGTGAGAAGAGTAGATTGAACACTGATCTAAACATCCTATATGGATTGGCTGTCTAGACCAACACATGATGGGATAGACAAGCAGCAGATGAACACAACAGTAATGCAATACAAAAATACGATTAGGGAGACAACCAACAAGACTTACACAGTGCCAGCATCAGCAAAAAAGTCTTTGAGGGCAGTGGTATTGATACGATAGGGCAGGTTTCCAACAAACACCTTGACATACAAGTCCTTCTCACCAACAGAAGCAGTGGGAGGGTTAGCAGCAGCAACAGGGGCAACAACAGGGGCATCAACAGTAGTCATATTGTTATATGTTGGTCAATGAAGCGAGGACAGAATGGGTGCACCAGTAAAGGACTAGAAAAAAAGTCTTGTAGCCAAGAGACACTAGTTAGTTAGACTCGAATCCATCATCAAACCATTCCTGCTTACCTTGACAAATATTTCGGTGTGACAAAGAAAATTGCACCAAAGCTTTAGTTGATGTAATTCACTGGTTAGATCTGAGCATTAATATACGATTCTATCCACTTTATTGGTTCATGGAATTAAGCAGAATAGTCGTACATAGCACATTATGGGTATTACAATGCCTACTCCTAATCCAAGTGTCGACACACTTGTCACTATCCATTGGATATCCAATCCAAGTGCAACAAGACACGTCATTCCAATCAAAATACTACCACGCACACCGGCATGGCACTGATGCCTACATTCTTGATCTTCATATGAATTTCTATTTTCATGTGACTCATGACGGTTTCGTCTTGTTGCCATCACAGTCTCAATCCACGTGCATACCGAGTGTGTACCCATCGCATATCTGCACATCACATTGATTGCCAACATCACTATCGCAATCGACATGATATAGGTATGTCCACCAAGTTCTTGGATAAAATTCCCCGTTACCTTGAATGGTTTATACTGTTAATATTCTGCTTGACATGTGTGTGGATTGTGGTTCAAGATACACTCTATTGTATACATACCAGTTTCATTGACTTGTTTCCATAAAACGCATATCCGCTCACTGCAAAGACAAGATCCATAACCATCACACTTTGAACAGAAATAGAAACTACGCGCTTAAATCGTATGGGTGTATGCATCTCTCTTTGTAGATCAGGGTAAATATCATGAGCTATAAAGTATTTCAACCATGTTTAGTAATACATTTTAACCAGTGCATAAACAAACCAGAATGACCGCTTACTCATAAAAGATAGCAGGATTATGAGTGTGGATTGCATTACATTGGATAGATTGGTAGGCCAGATTGTAGTTTGATCCAATACTCTTTGGAATGCATCATCCATCACCTTGTTCATGCTATTACCCTGTTCAATCTCATTGATGATGCAGTAAATCATACCACTGATAACACACATAAATGCAATGGTAATAGACACCATTCCGATTATAGAGGTAAACATGCGTAAACGATGAAACGGCATTAGCAACAGGGGAAACACAAGAATGGATAGCATAAATTTTGACCAAGTCTGATCAATAGAGATGGGTGTCATCATGAATGGAATTTGAATCCAACATACAGATTCTGGATCTGTGTGGAGTTTTGAAAGTGGATGAGAGCAAGTTTCAAGTATAAGCATTGAGCTCACTACAGCCATGAGTATACACGACCCCAACTTGAGCAGCCCATCCATAATGTTGAATACTAGCCAAGTGGGCCGACCCAAGATATGCTTTACAAGTGGAGCCATGGTAGATACATGTATACAACCAAACTTGAAATGAGATGGATTTATATTCAAAGCAAGTAAAAGTGACATTTCAGTGGCATAGATTTCTGAAGATGTATGTAGAATGCGGATGGCTTGATGTGGAGAGCGACGATGCCGATCGAAAAGTAAAACGCAGCGAGATACCAGCTGTGATACCCAATGAACAAGACTTCCTGTTAATAGAATTGCAAGTATACCAACAATCCAGCCAGAAAGAGAAAAGGCATAAGGTAGCATCAAAAACCCAATTCCAATAGAGTTTGTAATAGCATGTGATATGGCTTGTATTACCGATATTTTGTCGCGATAAGAGGATGGAATGGACGCATTGGGATTAGACAAGTGTAATCGCCTGCTTTCAAGTAACAAAGGGGTTGATGAGGAAGACAACTGTTGAGACAACTGGGTGGATTGAAGATCAAGAGAAGCTGCGCCATTGACATATGGAATCAATTGTTGATTGGTAGACATGAGATGTTGCGATCGGTCAAGTTCACACGTCTGCGATATGCAATGATAGTCGCTGTTCATGGTGTGTATGTCATGACTACAGGCACTCATTGGTAGCGATTCTTGTGATGCAACAGTGTTTGTGGCAGTAGCACCATAGGTATTGTCAGTTGCAAGCGAGGACATGGAAGTCATATCTAAAAGTGCAGGAAATGTATGGTAATGAGAAGCTAGACTCCATTGTGGATCTGTCATGGCAAAGGGATTTCCATCCTGTATGTCAATGGAATGAACAGCATCAGTCAACACACGCTCTTGAGGATAGATCGATTCGAGTTCTGCAGAATCTACCAGCACTTCAGTTTGCTTGGATAACAAAGCCTCGTCATCTGACGAAAGAGCAGTCTGTAGCAATGAGTCGGCTGACTGCAGCATGTGCAAACTGGATAGTTTATTAGAATCATCTGTTTTGCAGGAATAAACTTTATCTGGAGTAGACAGCCAATGATTGGGAAGGTTGGGTTGGTAAGATACACTTGAGCAAGAACCTAATCTTGGCAGTTGAGTAGACAGTTCAGGAAGAGAAGTTGATGAGGTTAAGTTAGATGAGTAGGATTTGGATACGATGGATCTCGGATTAGAGATTGAATGAGTAGTTGAAGGCATTGGAGTAATCTACTCAAAGTCAAGAGTAATATCCTCAAAGTCGAGAGTAATCTACTCAAAGTCAAGAGTAATATCCAATACAAGTCAATAGAATCAACACATGAAACAAGAATTCAACAGCATGGAGTGGCTCATGGATTGTCATGGATGTGCAATACGCTCTTGCATTCATCACTAGTAAGTGGATGGTCGAGATCAGCTCTTGATTACCACAAATGGTTGATTTACTTTCCTCTTCTTTCAACAACCATCATGGCAATCCTTCAAAATGTGCTACTAGGGTTTCTTGCTGGTCACTTCACATTACAGGCTAGGGTTGAGAGTATGTGGTGGTCTCACTTTGGATCAGATCTCTCTGCACTCAAGTCTAGAGTTCCTTCGTCTGTACGCTTTACTGCAGAGGTAAACTCGAGTGTAACAACAGTCATGATGATATCAACATGCTAATCTTGTTCATGTTCTAGTCATTCTATCGACAGCTTCTTGAGGCTCCACCCAACTTTGACTATGCTTTAATAGCTATAACTGTCACTGTATTCCTTTCCCTTATCGGTGGAATTGTCAAGCGTCCTGAGAAACGCTTTCTTTCTATCGTTTCCTTTATAACCTTTACTGCTGCTGCCGTAATCGAAATCTTTTATGCTCGTCCTATTATGAACTCCTTTAGATCCAAGTCCTATATGAAACCCGAGGTGCAAACCATGTCGCTGTATCAAGTGTCAATGCTTCATGCTGGAGTACTGGCTCTTTTGGCTATAACTGCTTTGGTTCAAGTATCCATGGTCGAGGCTGACGAGGAGGAATTAGAGAAAGCTAAAGCTGCTGCTAAATCTGCAAAGAAGCCCAAAAAGGAATAAACTGATGAATTATGTTTATGAATGTAGATTGGGTTTGAATAATAAACTATTCAAGTTTCTTGTCTGAATTGAGTAGATATTACGATGAATTCTCTCAAGTTGCACTTGCATCTACATCTGTATCAGTACACAATTCAGAGTATTGATGGTTGCTCAACATTATTCCAACTCTTCAAATAAACTCTTCATTCTAATAACAGCTTGAACGTATTCATTGATAAATACGTTGTCAAACTCGAATTGATTTCAACCCAAAATCTGTGATAATTGTATCGACTCTCAACAGCCATTCAGTTGCCGAATAACATGTCGAATATTATTCATCTGCCATCAGATTCTGCTACTAAATCATATGCACCGCTTATTCAAGTACTACTTCGTCATTCTATCCCTGTTAATCCATCATCGTCTGATATTCCATCACATATAAAAAGGCTCGGCAAATCATATTCCAACTTGGCTCACTCTATATCCACTGCCAATACTCAGCATTCGTCTGATTTTGAGAATCATGCTTCAGTTGCTACAAAAACTACTGCCCATCATAGACCATCCTTGTCTGTTCAATTAGATCCGCATAAACTCGCTCATCAAACAGAACGTCATCAGCGTAGATTTAGTATTAGTCAGCCATTGAATCAGCAACAGTCTAGTTCTGATGTAATGTCGTCCATGCTGCAGCCTGCCACCAGTCAAATCTCTCAGTCCATGTTCGATGCAAATCCAGAGCTCGTGGCATATTTCGATCATCTTACCACCAGCTCTTTAGATGCTGTGAAAAAAGAACCTGAGCATTTATCTGCCGAACAAACCAGGCTATCTAGGCAACTTTCTGCTGTGGCATTCAACGAGTACAGATCATTCCTTCGTGCTCACGAGTCTTGCAATGATATTAGAAAGGAACTCTCCAGCATATCTACAGAAATCCCAAAACTAACTTGCGCAATATCTTCTTTAAAAGAGTCCATTAGTGCATTGTCTGTGAGCTCTACTGGCATTTCTGAAAAGCATCGTACTTTATTGCTCATACTCGCTCAACATGACTGTTTGATTGAAATTCTGGATATTCCCAAACTCTTCAATACCTTTATTCGTGGAGGATATTATGAAGAAGCCATGAGTTTACGTGTACATGTGCAACGTTTACCATCCAGATATCCAAACCTTCCAATCGTGACTCGCATTGCCCAGCAAGTCGATGTGTCTGCCGAAATGATGCTTAGCCAGCTGATTTTACTACTTCGAGGCAACATCAAGCTTCCTCTATGTATTCGAGTCATTGGTTATCTGCGTCGTATGGGTGCATTGGCTGAGTCAGAATTGCGTCTTGTGTTTTTACAGCAACGCGATCTGTACATGTCAACTCGTCTTGCAGCCATCGATGGCAGGGTTGCTCATGGTGTTTCTTTACCTATACGTAACAGCACTACTGGGTCTACTGCTGAAAAGGATGAACAAAAGAAACCTGACACATGGCATCAGTCTAGAGTCGAGTATCTCAAGCGCTATATTGAGATCTCTCGCGAGCTGTTTTTTGATATTGTCACTCAGTACAAGGCAATGTTCTTTGACTCACAAACAGTGCTTTCTCCTTTGGCAAATTCTCATTCTACTACATTTCCAATACTTGGTTCTGGGTTTGGATCGTCATTCGAGCACATTTCTTCTTCGTCCCATGTATACGAAACTTCGTCAAGTTTTACATCCCAGTCCATCCTTGCATCATACGTTACTCATGTAGTAAACAATTTTCTCAGTGTGCTACGTGTTCATCTGTTGGACTTGTATGAATTACCATCGACTCCCCAAGATTCTACTCAGACATTGCTTCATAGCAATCAGACTGCAGATTCATTTATAAAAAACAACATTGGCGCTCCGATGAATAAATACGCCATGCCACCTGCACTTGCTGCTGCTCCTCCGATTGATGATGTATCTGCTGTCAATTCTATTCTTACTCAGACCATGTACTATGGCATGTCACTAGGCAGGGTTGGTATTGATTTCCGTCAAGCTGTATCGGGTGTGTTTGAACTTGCTGTGGAACGCATTGTAACCACTCAAATGGCTCACGGTGTCGATACATTTGTGGCATGGGCGGTAAAAACTCGTCTTACAGGTCTTTACGCTGTCAGCATTATGGGCGGTAGTCGTTCAAACACTGCAACTTCTCATACATCTCTACCCGACTCGCTAAGATCAAGCGTAGTAAGTAATTTGGGAAGTGGAAGGCATTCTTCTGGTAATGCTGGAGCAAGCAGTACTCATCAACCGCCATTGGCTTTGCTATCCTATCCACCATTGGGCACACTTCTCAATACGTTTTTGGCCTCTTTCAACCAACTTCGTCTACTTCCGTGTCTGTCTCTTATTCCCACCATCTCTTCATTCATTGTTACCTCCTTGACTCTTGTATCTGAAACTACAGCGGATCTTGCTTCATCTGATTGGCAGCTTTGGTCCGACACGCGACGTACAGAATTGGAAGACTTTTGTCGAGCTTTTGTAGATATACTCGTTCCAACTGTTGTTCATGCATTTAAAGAGGGTGTGTATGGTGGATTGATTGACTCTAGTTCTGACAACTATCGTATCGATTGTCACAAAATATGTGATCGTGTCGAAACCTGGGCCAATACATCTCGTCGTCGAGTTTCCAACATGACTGCCACTCCCATGGAACCATCCAATGACGCCTCATTGACGCCTCGTCCACAATCTGTTACCGATATTCCATCCGTCATTTCAAACCTCAAATCATCCACTGATCGTATTCACCCTTCAAATGAGTCTCTTGACACTGAACCCAACCCTCTAGTTACTACCAACTCTAATCCAGTTGTCCAACAACTCAATACAGAATCGGATTCATCCATACTGTGATTTGATTTATCATCTGATTCAATATATAATAAAAAATTGTTCAGAATTGGATTCGTATTGTTGGTTACGAGATACAAGTTACAAAGTGTGAAATAAAATACAATCCAATGACTCGAACCCCTTTTTTATTTGATTGAATTTGAATCAAGTTAAAAGTATAGTTGAATCAACTCAATGGTAGATATCACGCGGTAGGTTGAGATTTATTCAGCATTGATGATGAGATCGGGTGCGTTGCCTTGAATCACCCATCGTTGGATAGATTCATCGGATACCACATTGTCGATCATATCGTCCATATCATCATCATGTTGTGTAGAAATTCCAGCAACACGAGATTCGGATGTATATTGACCAATCCATTCAAACACTTCTGCATGCCATTGAAGAGAATTGGCAGGCTTTAAAACCCAGTGGTCTAAAATGGAAGCCCATCAGAACATGAGGAATGGTGAGTTGACAACATAGTTTAAATACGGTATTTAAAATAGAGATTGAATTCATGCTTTTTAAAAAAAACTTACTTTCATCAGGGAAATACAAGAGTCGACTGGGAACACCACGACGTTGAAGAGCAGTGAATGTAGCAAGACCTTCAGTGATAGGAAGACGATAGTCACGCTCGCTATGAATAACCAATGTAGGAGTGACCCACTTATGAGAGTAAAGAGCAGGAGAATACTTTTCGTAAAGCTTGGCTGCTTTGCGATCATATGGAGTTCCTTTAAACTGAAAATTAAACATCAATGCCCATGAGTAAGTTTTACTTGCAAACAAGACACATATTCTCAACTCATGTGCTTTATAAGCATTAAAAACAATACCTCGCTTTCTTTAAAGAACAGTTCTTCAGTACTGAAATACGCAGAGCGAGGATCGAAAATGCCATCGTGGTTTACTAATAGTAACGCATTGTATGAGCTTACCAAGTCACTGTTGATCAAGAATAGTACAAATGGCTTTTACCTAAACAAGCAAACTTTTTCGAGTGACCATTGATCCAGTTGATCATGAATCCACCATAGGATGCACCGAGAGCTGCGACGCGACGGTGATCAATTTGAGGATTCTGTTCAAGAACATATTTGAGACCTTTCATGTTGTCTTCAAATGGCGCACCACCCCAGTTTCCAAGAATAGAACGGGTGAATTCTGAACCAAACCCAGTTGATCCATGAAAGTTGATGACGGCGACTTGTTATAAAAGTATGTCAGTATTGGTTCAAGAATGGTTTCAGCTTGTTGGTCAAATTATTTTAACTCACCAAAGTAGCCTTGGGCAGCAAACACCTGTGGGTTCCATCTGTACGACCAGTCGTCATTCCAAGCACCTTCTGGTCCACCATGAATTAAAAAGGCCAATGGATACTTTTTATCCTTGTTGAAATAATGGGGTTTTAGGAGCCATCCGTGTACTTTTTCGTTCTTGGCACCCTTGAACCAAAATTCTTCTGAAAGTGCCAGTTCTCTCGAAGCAAGATGCTCGTCGTTAAAATGAGTGAGGAAAGCAACTGTCCATTTTTCCATATCCATCACAACAAGTTTGTCAGGGTATAGCATGCTGTTGGAAAGAGCGGTAAAAGTATTGGTGCCAGGAACAACAGAAATGCTATGAAGGGTCGAATCAGAGTAGCGCTCAACAACTTTGTCGGTAGTGATGTCCACTGTAAAGACACGATTGTGGCCCTTGTCTTGAGCAGTGATAACCAGCAGTGTCTCGGAAAGAAAAGCAACAGAGCTAGGACTGCGATCCCATTTTTTGGTAAGAATATGTTGTGTTGCCTTGATTCTGTTGTAAACAACAATCACATTCTTATCTGACTCGTAGCCAGGTTCCTAAAAGTATTTAAAATGGTATACATTGATTGTCAATAAATCAGTGGTGAATTCAGACTATTCAGTTGGTTCACACAATACATACACGCATCTGAAGCCAAGCAATCAAGTCGCCAGATGGAGAGAAAGTAGGAAGTGAATCGGCACCAAGATTTTTCTTGGATAAGGAAACAGGTGGTTGAGTTCCATCAGTGAGTATGGTATAGACGTCAGTGTTTGTATTCCAAGCAGCTTTACGTTCGGGAACACGAGAAGTAAAAACAATAGTAGTTCCGTCTGGAGAAAAGTCGTAATCGGTGGTGGATCCAAACGGAGCAACCTATCATTGTGGATAAAGCAAACTCATGTCAGTGACTATTTGGTCAAAAAAGTTTAACAAATGAAAACAGTCGGATTTCTTACAGGAGTTTCAAGATCGGGCTGACTAGTAAATAAATCAACCACATCGCCCTCTTTAACAACGGTAGTATGCAATGCATCGAGTGTAAGACGAGCAACAAACAAATGGCTACGAGCGGTAGGATCAAGATAAGTGTCCCAATGACGCACGAATAGCTTATCATAGACCATAGCGGACGAGCCCTTTACCTTGCGTGGATTAGGAGCTACAACGACTGTTGAAGTGAATGCGAGCAGACCTGATGCAGTGTGATATTTGGCAGTAGTTACACCATGAACTAGTTGAGTGATTTGCTTGAATTCAACAGGAGTACCCTCGAGAGCATTGGTGATGTTTGAAACACAAATCTATTCAAAATATAAAAACAATGAAATCCGATTGGCGAATTTGAGCAATAGTTGATTATTTGAGGGTTACAGCATTGTCAGGATAATTATTCCCTTGATTACTTTTATGGTTTTTGTGGAATGCAACCCCTATTTACCTGATTCAGACCCTCACGGGAACAAAGCACTGCCAACACACTGTCAGACATCCAAAAGGGATCAGATCCAACATCAGATCCTACAAGAACAGGACCAGTTGCCAATGCAGTTTCAGGTGTACTCAAATTGGGATGCTCAGACTCGCTTTGTGGCAGGTGTGATAAATACAATGAACGAGTAGTGATAGTAGTTGATGTATTGTAGTGCGATACCGTATAAGCAGTCATGTGTCCTTTAGGCGAAACAACCGGATTAGACAGTTTGTGCATGCTGACAAGATCCTATTACACATGCAAGCATGTTGAATGATATTTAACATGAATTAATCAAATATGTTGGGTTGCAATACTCGACAAGCACATGTGTTCAAATATGCGGAAAACACAGTACCTCTGCAGTGAAACCATACGAGGCAAAATCAGCAGAAACAAGACAGCATGAAGAGACCAGCAGTAAGATTCTGGACACGGAAAAGGCAGATCCGACCATTGTGCTCGTTGTGGTAAGTTTTGCTGATAATTACAGCCATCTTCACGGCCGCGCATCGCCTTATTGCACGTGACTTGATGTCAATTCAAATACTTTGAATTGGCTGGAAATTAAATTATTTTAATATGAACCATTCATCCAAGCGGATCAAGACCAGTGCTGGCTCTCAGCATGCTGATGGTGGAAACCCTTATCTTGCCCATATGAACAAAGGAATGTCCAACTCTGCTACTGGAATGCTTTCTTTTAGAAACACTACGGTTGAGCAAGCTGAAGAATTGGAAAATGGTTCTGTCAATCCATTCAATGGTCGTCCATTCACTGACCAGTATAAAAAGATCTTGAACCAACGTCACCATCTTCCTGTTCATAAACAACGAAAAGAATTTTTGAATCTTATTCGAGACCACCAAGTTCTTGTTCTTGTTGGTGAAACGGGCTCCGGCAAAACCACACAGTAAGTTTGATTTTAAATATTTTATCAATTCCAAACTGGTTTGAATCAAATCTCAATCATCTGGTTTGAATCAATGAATCCTTTGCGCTTTGTACTGTCCATTTGTAAGCTTCAGTACAGTTGTAATGCAGGCCTAATCCAATATTTATTTTTAAAGAATACCTCAATTTTTAGTATATGATGAGCAACCTCAGCAAACTGGTATGCTGATTGCATGCACACAACCTCGTCGAGTCGCTGCAATGTCTGTTGCAAAACGTGTGGCTGATGAAATGGATGTTAAATTGGGCGAAGAGATTGGTTACAGTATTCGTTTTGAAGAATGTACTTCAAAGCGTACGCTTCTCAAGTACATGACTGATGGTATGCTTCTTCGTGAAGCAATGAACGACCCATTGCTTTCACGCTATTCTTGTATTATTCTTGATGAGGCACACGAGCGTACCATTGCTACAGATATTTTAATGGGTTTGATCAAGCGTATATGCAATGCACGTAAAGATCTCAAAGTCGTCGTCATGTCCGCCACTTTGGACGCTGAAAAGTTTCAGTCGTACTTTGGTAATGCTCCTTTGATGATGGTGCCTGGTCGTAAATTTCCTGTTGAAATCTACTACACCCCTGAGCCCGAGCGTGATTATTTAGAAGCTTCAATCCGCACAGTTTTGCAGATTCACTCTTGTGAACCGCAAGGTGATATTTTGTTATTTTTAACTGGTGAGGAAGAGATTGAAGAAGCGTGTCGGAAGATTCGTGGTGAGATTGAAAATCTTGCAAGTACATCTCCGGCTCTTATAGGAGATGTTAAAGTGGTTCCACTCTATTCATCACTTCCACCTGCCATGCAACAACGCATTTTTGAAGATGCACCAACAAGCAAGCCAGGCCGTCCACCAGGTCGTAAAATTGTTGTGTCTACCAATGTTGCTGAAACATCCTTGACCATTGATGGTATCGTGTATGTCATTGATCCTGGATTCTCCAAGCAAAATGTGTACAATCCACGTGTGCGTGTGTCTTCATTGTTAGTCAGTCCCATTTCTAAAGCAAGCGCACAACAACGATCTGGTCGTGCTGGTCGCACACAGCCAGGAAAGTGTTTCCGTCTATACACTGAAAAGGCATTCATTGAGGATCTTCAGGAACAAACATATCCTGAAATCTTGCGATGTGAGCTTGGTAGTATTGTACTTCAGCTCAAAAAACTCAAGATTGACGATTTAGTTCATTTTGATTTTATGGATGCACCAGGTAATACTCATTGTTGTACACATCTCAACTATATAGTGGTGCATTCTATGCCCAAATATCGAGTACTTGTATTTGGTTTGACCATTTTGTTTATATTGTGATTTTAGCTCCAGAAACCATGATGCGTGCTCTTGAAGTACTCAATTATCTTGGCGCTCTTGACGATGAAGGCGATTTGACCCGGCTTGGTGAAATTATGGCCGAGTTTCCACTAGAACCCACTTTGGCCAAGATGGTGATTGCCTCGCCTGAATTCAAGTGCTCAAATGAGATTCTCACCATTATTGCTATGCTCTCTGCTCCAAATCCCTTTTTGCGTCCCAACGATCAACGCCGTCAAGCCGATGCAGCCAAAGCCGAGTTTGATCACGCCTATGGTGATCATCTCACTCTCCTCAACGTATTTCATGCCTACCTGTCTAATGGATGCGATCAAAAGTGGTGCTATAACAACTACTTGAACGCACGGTCTCTCAAAAATGCCGAAAATGTGCGTTCCCAACTCGAACGTGTCATGACCCGTATGGGAATCAACTTGGTATCAACACATGTTGATGATCCTCATTATGATCGCAATATTCGCAAAGCATTGACTGCAGGATCGTTTATGTATGTTGCACATCGCGAAAAAAGTGGATTGTACATGACTAGCAAAGATAATCAGGTATGCCAGTTGAATTGTAACCCTAACCCACACCCTGTTTAACCCACTCATTCATATAACTCTATGGTTTTAATAGATTGTGCAACTGCATCCATCATGCTGTATTGGAAACAAACCAGAATGGGTCATTTATCACGAGTATGTGCTTACGAAAAAAAACTATATACGTACATGTACGACCATCTCTGGCGAATGGCTATTGGAACTTGCACCAGCATACTACGATCTCAGCAACTTTCCTGAATGTGAATCCAAACGAGTTCTCAAAAGAATGGTGCTATCAGATGCCAAGAAATCATCAAAGAATGCATTACCTAAAGGAAACAAATACAAATAAAAACCATTTGTCGGATATGAATTGTGGGATTCACTATTGTAATGATGTTTTGAACTAGATCATAAACTACATGAAACTTGCTGATTAATGTATACAATGACTCACTTTTGATGAAAAGTGTATATTTCAATCTGTTGATACTTGTATTGGAATATAAACTGGTTTCAACTCTTCACGCTACCCATCAATTATCTAATCTCGTAAAAATTGACGATAAACAGATTTTCCCATTGAGCCGGTTTATTAATCGATTGGAAATAAATAAAAGGTGGGCAAAAATCTATGAATACATAAATAGTGGTACGTTGCATCATTTTAGAGATGGAAAGAATATCAATATTCAAAAAACCATGATATTCACGTCAAAAGATTGTGTGCAAGTAGAATCAGAGGCCATTTGTAAAAAAGAGTCTCAATGTAGGAATAGTAAAGTGCCAAAGGGAGATAAAGATGGAGTTGATGGACAGCAATGTCAAGCCCATCAATCAACCAAGTAGCACATGCATCAACCATTCCAGTAGGATACTGTCCGGTTTTAATTTTCAGTGGTGAAAACTAGGACGAATAACAGACGCCATCATTCTTGGACAAGTACTTTACTCGGGATGTCGGGAGCACGAATACATATGTCGTTTAAATGCATCCTGTCTTGGAAAACGAGCGCCGCATTTGACACAAGGACCATATCGATCCGATTTGAAATGAACCGAGGAGATATGACGACTAAGATCATGCTTTCGGTTGAATGTTTTGTCGCACTCTGTACAGGCAGATGGTCGCTCACCTGAAAAATAAACAAGCCATTAGAACAAGGTTTAGATGATTAAAAATTAAAATTATAGTGACGATAAGCAATTACCAGTGTGAGTTCTGTAGTGCGCATCCAGATTGTTTTTTCGAGTAAACCAGCGATCGCATCCAGAGAATGTGCAGTAGTATCTTCGACTTGGAGGAACACATGACGATTCACCTGCAGAGTCTGCGGTGGTCTTGGGTGACGGAAATTTCAGGTTCGAGTTTCCTTTGGCCGAGGGAAAAGTAGCAGGAACGCCAGATCCTACCGCTGTTAGTGGAGGACTTGGTTCAAGCAGCTGCAGTTTGCTATTTGAATTAGCACTACGGTCTTCAGTACGCTCAGAGAGGTCAGAGCAATCGCTTCCAGAATAAAACGTGGTAGAAATGGGCAATTCTAAAAACGATGTAGAAGCAGAGCGGGCACGTGTAAAATCTACAGAAGTAGAAGGGTTAAAGAATGTCTGACATCGTGCAGGACTTCCATCAACCAACGGATACTGTGAGGAAGGCAAACATGTCCACTTTAGACTGTTTGCTGCTGAAGACATGGAATTAGACTTGATATCCCACGTATCGTTCAATCCGTTCAGAATCAAGTTTGAGGGCGACCCATTAAGCGAATTCGGGTGAGTTGCATCCAAATGGTTCAAGGCAAGCATGGACTGATCAAGGACAGGATAATTGTCATTCAGTGTGACAAGAGGGGTTGAAGAGATAGCAGAGCTAGCAGTGGCATTGTCAGTATGTTCGAGGGGAAGCATTGGCAGAGTCATTGGTATCAAAGGCGTATGCAGTATAGACTGCATGATGTTATTCGTAGACAACGAGACATTGGCAGCATCGTTCAACATGACGGGTGTATTAATCAGTGGAGACCATCCCAACGGATCATCAATGTTGATTGTGAGTGGTGGTGGATGGTTCAACATAGCATAGAGAAGCGATTCTGGCGAAGTTTGTGCAGATGGAACCGAACTGCCACTAATAGAAGCCGTATCGCTGCTGCTAAATGGCTTGGTAGCGACAGTTGAATTATCAGGATTAGCAACAGACATGTGGGTGTGCGAAGCAGCTGATCGAGGCAGAAGCGAATGAGCCAGTTGTTGCTGAGATAAAGAGTCTATTTGAAAGTGGGGCATCAACGGTGGAGTTGGAAACGTAGTGTATAGCTGGCCTGCTGTCATGCTGGTGACCGACGGCAGCCAATCTGAATGTTGGTCTAGCTGTTTATTAAAAATATATGGCTGGAAGTCAAACTCGACAGTATTACGAGGCTGATTGTCATGAAGCGGAAGCTGAGACTGAGGCCAGACAGTAGCCTTGGACTGGATCTGGTTATACAGAGGATAAGGCAGTAGGTCTGCTGCCTTATGGATTGGATATCCACCAGTTGAATCTGTAGCGTGATTATCAGTAATCGATCCAGATGCTGGATTTGGTGTCGCTGACTTGGTTGTTGTCAGATGGCTAGTAGGAACGGTGGGTGCGGGAAAGTCAAAGCAGTGGTCGTCCGATCGGCACAGGTTATGAGGAGGGTTCATAGACTGGATATATAGCATAAGTGGCCTTTGGTCTAAAAGTAATAGCTAGAATTATGGTGGACCCAGTGTTGGATTTGTAATGTCAGTCTAAACCAACTGCCGAGATTCAAAAACCGGAATCACTGTTGCTTCAAATACAACTTACCAGTCAATTGGATGGCCAATGCCAAGCCAAACACGTTTCCGGTTACAGATAGAAACTGGTTTAGAATCCTCAATTACCTAAAAGGTCAAAAAGGGTCAAACCAACAAGTTAACAACGCTTTCATAAATGTGGGGTTTCATAGGATTAACAAAACAATGGTTCCCGTTCATTAAGTGGTTCACAGCATTCAGCTTGGGGAATGGGGCTGACATTTAAAAGAAAAGCTGAGCATTCATGTTCAAGTAGAGCATTTGCTAGTGGAGCAAGCGTTAAAGAACAAACTGAAAACAGTCGTTGAACACTACTGGTGATTTACCACTTGAATACTTACTTGAGTTGAATCGGGTTTAATTTGTAAGCAAGGCTTTAGTGGTCAAATATCTTGGTATTGAAATCAATTGAATTGGCGCTACAGGGCAGTGAATATCAACGGTGCCCTGTAAATCAGGTTGCTTAATGTATTTACACTGACTTTGAAAGAGGGAGAAGGGTTTTTTATAAACTGAATTGGCTGCAAGAAACCTGAATTACCAGTGCTTGAAAAGCAAAAAAACCCTTTATTTCATAGTTAAATCCAGCTGGCAAACCTGGCTTTAAACAGCCATCATGCATTTAATTCTGAATAACAAAAGCACACGATAGTCCAGATCAATAACAAACCAGCACCCCGCTAGTAATAAAATCAACATTCTTGTGCTGTGAGGTTTGGTTATGCACTAAAAGCACCTTGCCCAAAGATTGTGTTTCGCTGTGGAACTGGCAACTGTCATCTTATCAGCGAATAGACTGCACAAATAATTTGATGGATTACGCTTTTGCCACTACGCTTGTAAACTTGATCTTCCGCATCGGCCCTAATATTCACTATCTGGCAAACACATGCTACAAAAAACGACTCAGCAGCGAATGCTTTGCTCGTCTTCCTGCTCGAGCCTGTTCAAGATCTTTGCCGTCATGATCAAACATGTTGCTCCAGATTTTAAATACGGCCGAATCTTACCCAGCCCCAATGTTATTGTCCAAGTGCAAGCACGATTTGTATTTGTCTGCTCTCTATTCTCACGAGTCGCTGTGCGCTATTTTTTGCTTTGTCCGCATTTTTGCATATGCTGAATGGTAAATACCCCTCACAACATACTCTTGAATAAACTATTATCCCCTTCGTATTTCAGTATCTGGCATTATTGAAACTCTAATTAGGAGTAAACCATATGGATTCTTCAGCAGCCGACTCTTGAACATCCAATCAAATGCAGCTGCGCAATACCCGCCTCTATCAGCATATACGCCAAAGCGTGTTCTACCGTTTCTAATTCTCCATCATGGACTTATCCTTGGCACTGATTTATTTGGCTTGAATAAAAGCATTCCTTGCTGAATCTTTGTCCAACAATGCTTTCGGCTGGCTTTGAATAATGCCTCATCATACCGATTGCTGTAAAATACCATAATTTGATACTATCATCATCAGGTATATTGAGTAGTATTGCGTACCCTGCTTGAATACCCATGAATGTAATTTCCGCTCTTTGGGTTCTTGTCAAAAGCTTGACTCGTATGCAAAACTAGCATTAATTCATGGTCCCTCGAGCCTCGTACTTTTTGAAATGCTTATCGTATTGGTATTACCTTTTACCAGTCCGTGGTATATGCTTGCTAGCTGTATTTTATCAAGGTAAACAAATACGGGTATCACGTTTGATCTCATAGTCCCAATCCATCGCTATTTGAAAGCAAGCCAGATAGTTCTCGGCTGCAACTCTTCAAACTTGAGCACTGTGCATTTGAATCATTCTTGCTATTTAGACCCATCACTGTTATTACAGAGCCTTGCGCAAACTAGGGTCTGGTCTTGAATTCTCCTACATCAAAACAGTGGTCGTATACACTACATCAATCGATGCGTGCGTGATCGATTAAATGCTGTGATGAGCATGATTTAGTTGCCATGCACAGCCCGTCACTACTCTTGTGAACCCGATTGGTACTCTGCGAGATTTTCTAATCATTTTTAGAATACAGCATACCAATAACATATATATCTCATAGCATGCTTTATTTCCCTCACGGGAGTCAAGTAACCTGTGCAGTAAAGAAAGCATCTACCAAATGACAGACCAATCAAGTAATTCAATCTACCAAATTAGCTCGTGAAATAAACTTGATGATCACCTGAATGCTAACAGCCACGCTTACTGAAGCATGTGCTATACCATATTCTCTTCATTCTAATTATAGTGAATGCATCGGTATTGTACCAATCACATTGCTTGTCCTTTACCCAGTCAATGCAAGATGAAAAACAATTTGCTTCCATCTTTACAATGCAATGGACATTTCTGATACGACAAAAGATGATCACTAGGTACAAAACTGCTAAAACAATCAATATTTGTTTGAAACTGACAAGCCATGTATGCAGTGTTGACTAAACAGTCTGATGTCAGTAACAAAAGCAATTCTGCCCAAAAATAGCAAAAGATGTGCTCCGAGTGAGGCTTGAACTCACGACCTCGAGATTATGAGACTCACGCGCTGCCAACTGCGCCATCGAAGCTTGTTTTTGAAAACCACTTGTTTGTATACATTGTTACGTTTATCAATCAATACACGACATCATATCATTGTATCTACAGACTATCATCAAGACTCGTACACTAGAATCAATGTATTCACTTGATTCCATATTGCATATTGCATACTGTTATTATGATCAGTGCAATAACAATACTCGTGTGTATGTTGTTGAATTGATATATGCCAACTACTGGAATAGTTTTGAACCTAGGAACGCTGCATTCAAACATCACAATATTGAGATCTTGAACTAGATGTCATATTGGCATGACAATATGTGTATCATGGCTACTGTATGATGGCTTATAGGTATATTTGAGTGTCAATCGGTTATTATGCTAGTAGATTTGACAGTAGTGGGTTTAGAGTATATCGTACCAATCGATTACACACGCTTACAGAAACTAACAGTACAGTATATACTACAACTAGACAATACGTCTTCAATATACAAGAAAAACTGGCGAGTTTGAAAACCATTAATATTCAACACAATCGTCAACTAGAGTTTATTACAATTAGGAATGCAAAATCGCGACCTTGAATTTTGTAAACTGAGTGAGTAATATAGAGTAAAAGTTTGGTTGTCCAAGTGTCAAGATCTGTCTCGTTAATCCAAGTATATGTTTAAAATGACTGTCAAGACTAAAATAGCTAGCCAGATTGGTGACAGTTTATAATGGAAGATTGATTTGGTTTGGATGCAAATGTGTATATGTAGCAAGAGTCATTATGATATGAATTGTATGAATGTCACAAATGTCACGAATGTCATTAAAATAAAATGGTGGATCCAACAATTGTTCCCATGTTGATCGGAATCAACAGCAGTTGGCCATATTCAACTGCCAGATCAATCATTACATTAGTCATCAGTCATGCTTTATTTTCAACGAATCGTGTTTCTAAAATGCCAGTTCAGTCAAACTCGGCTATAGTTGTAATAAAAACAACAGCCCAGGTTTATTTCCATCAAACAATTCAATCCATGAGCTTGAGCCTGTCACACACAACAGCCATTGTAAATTGATTTAACTGCAAAGTGTTTATTTTTTGTGATCAAGTGGATACTATCAATAACACAGACAATGGTCAGTTTTGCACAAATGTCACATCTATGCCTGATGTCACTCGTTGGATATCCAACTCCAAGTGATTATTTACAAACAAATAAAACCATCTGTTGCAGCTTATCCAAATCAATAGCATGTCGGTCTGAACATTCCAATGGTGCTTGTTTTTTCAAATATTTCAAATCTCCATCATTTGAATACAACTCATCCATGTGTACATTTTTACATGCGGTAGATCTCGAGTATAGTCCTGCTTGAGCCAGTACATTTCGAGATGCTTCCAGTCGTGTTTGAGTCGACAATTGCAAATCTGGCGCGCGAGATTGTTGTGTGGTGTTGTATTCGAAAACGATGGATTGTGATGCTCGATGCTGCCGATGCAACATTGCTGTCGATGGAGCATAAAAACATAGCCAATCAGATGTAAACGGTGATAGTCCACCAGCAGAGTATCCCATTTGCCATCCCAGAATCCCAAGATGAGCAACCATGAGCCGGAAATACGCTGTAAATGAATACGCAACAAATACCCATTCCGATGTTGATTCTACTCGAAACCAGACTGTTGGCAAAGATGGATTGTGTGCAAGTGGTCTTGTATTGTTTGGAAGGATTGTGTCAAATCCATAGCATAAACACACTTGACCCATAGATTTACATTCATCTAGCACAAATGCTCCAAAAAGAGATGGATTCTGTACATATTCAACTAATATCCAACAGTTGAATATAGATATTCAGTCAATACACCAACTTGATATATGCGTATCAATAACGTACCACGATCAAGACTTCTTGGAAGCAACGCAGAGTCGATTTGAATCATATCGACCAGTGATTTGATATGCATTCTACCCAATATGCGACTTGAATGCTCAATCTCTACATTCCATGTAAAAAGCAATCCATCAGAACATTTCAAAAACTGAACCAGATCGGATGGTAGTGTCAATACGTTTTGTCCATGAGTACAAGTCCATCGCGACACCAGTGCGTGCGGACATGGTGGATACGCTGCTATCTTGAGGTCAGTCACATCTGGACACGACTCGAGATATGGAATGACACCAGGCATCCATTCCTGATACATGTGTAGTGCAGATGAAGTGTGTTGTATATTCATACTTTCTAAAGACATGCTTGATGTTTTTGACATTAAATGCAACGATATCGATGTGGTGAATTTGATTCAAGTTGCAGTCCAAGTGCTGATATTCTAATTTGCATGCTAAAAACAACCGAGTTTGACCAACACTTGATTTCCAGTATAAAGTTGACTACTTTTACTGGTGAACGTACTCTGCGGATCCAGATAGTATAGAATGACTGCTCCAGCTACTCAAACAGTAATTACCGTTGGACAGACGCTCTACATCAACAATATAAACGACCGTATCCGGAAAAAGGGTACATTGAATCAGCAGTATTACTAGCTGGAATGAGAAATGACTGGACTTGCCAACTGCTCATGATTGCAGTGTCAACTGACATTTTAAACTGTTTATTCTACATGCTGTGATTACATTAGAACTAAGAGAGTCGCTGTACTATTTGTTTTCACAACATGGTCGAGTACTGGATATTGTTGCTCTCAAAACCATGAAAATGAGAGGTCAGGCATTTGTTGTGTTTGATACTGCACCAGCTGCCACTGTTGCCATGAGAGAACTGCAGGGATTCCCATTGTATGACAAGAACATGGTAAGACTAGAGTTTTGCAGATCGTCATGTTGCATTGATATTTCAACTGGATTTGGTTGTTAATGCTTACTGTCGAGTAGAATGGCTGTAGACTAACATGAATGTGTTACTGTTATTTGGCATGTTTGATTATCACTTGTGAAACCCAGCAAATTGCATATGCCAAGACAAAATCCAATGCAGTCAAGAACCGAGATGGCAGTTACTCGAAGCGATCTCGTGCAGCAGCTATAGAAATGAATGGTAATGAATCTGATGCATCAGATGATGATACACTACACAAGCGACAGCGTGGAGATGAATATGATTCAGTAACTACAGGACGACATTTAAAGGACAATGAGGAGGAAATGGAAGAAGGTGAGTTGCACTTGTTGACTCTTGAATGCATGGATTCAAGTACGCTTTAAACTGTAAACGGATATCTGATGCGTTTATGCATTTCATTTAGATGACACCAACGCGATTCTTTTCGTCAGTCAGTTACCATCATCCGTTACAGAAGAGTCGCTATCGACGTTGTTTGCACAAAATGAAGGATTCAAAGAAGTGCGGATTGTACCAGGTCGACCAGATATTGCATTTGTCGAGTATGCATCATCAGCACAGGCAGATCAAGCACGAATGGTATTAAATGGATGTCAAATCACTCCAGATCAAGCCATGCGGGTAGAGTTTGCACGGCGGTAAAGATGTTGCATTATGCTGATTGACAAAAATGGTATTGTTGAATAAACAGATATGTTTTGGCATACATCTGATATTGATTGGTGGATATGCATCCAAGCCAAAAAAACATGGTGTATTGTACAATGGATATTTTACATGCCATGTATCGATTGTGATGAGTTGCACATTTTGCTTACTGTTCAAGATCCAGTGCACTAATCTGTAAATAGGTAATGCTCGAATTGTCGATACAACAATCTGGCATTTGTCATTGTGATATTCATGGAATATCTTGGTCAGTGAGTGTATCTGCAGTAATCCAGTACACACCTTGGCCAACTGAACTCGACAGTGAAATACCACATTTCAATTACACGACTGCCGAATCTGATGTGTTGGTCAACCATTCAACAACTTGAAAGTAATTTTAAACACTTGTATCATGCTGAACAGTATCACTACTAGATTGAACAAGTTGCTTAATAGTTGTGTACTTTGCAATGCAGCGTTGCTACAAAAGTATGCACTTGACATGTTTCCAAAGCTGAACTTGGGTTGTCAAATGAAACACCAAGTTACAGATTGCTCAACAGTTGTTCAAGCCAGATTGTCGAATTAGAATACCAATTACACAATTTTCGGTATTTTCACAAGCAACGAGTGGTATGATTTGATATACACACTCGAGTCAAGATGCTACGAGACCAGTCTTGTTTAGTTTTTGTCAGCATTTTGAATGAGATACAGCCAGAATAAATATGAATGCATAGACTAGCCGATGCTGGAGTTTTGAATAGTGAGTTTGAAGATATTCGTGGTTTTGCATCATCACACTTGATTCAGACTATGAATAGTTGGTTACCCATGTGTCATTATTGTGAAGAGCAACACCATGCATTATTTGACCTGTTGTATTTCCATTTACTAATTGTGTTTTTGATATTTCATACGTCATTACCGATTCATCAGAGTTTATTCCCAATATGCAAAGTTGGAACGCGCAAGATAAACTTGACCCAATATCCACGCCAATTCACATCCACGAACATTCTTGACCACTCTGTATCTGTAGTCTCTCCATCCTTTGCAGCAGTCGTTCCCGTATAACCATGAATAAATCATTGAATCATTGTCCAGTTACTTTACTTTTAGCATTCCATCAGAGTTGCCAATCCGACTAGTTAACCTCCACATCCGACAACCAGAAATCATCCTTCAACGCCAGAAACAACACTGTCTGTTCAAGACTTGATATCAACCATTCAAGACCACTCATATCAGCACTGAAATGCCTGAACGTACACTGTCTGCATTTGCTACACCATCTGCAATATTTCTAGGAATCGCGCTCCATGAGCTCATATCAACCTTCTTTTTTCTAGTTTCCGCATCCAAAACCTCGTGGAGCACATCACTATTCCAGATTTCTGTTGTGGCATGGAGTTTATGTATGCTGCAGTCAATTTTACAGATTGTGTTGCTGGATTACACGATATCGCCGTATGAGACTGCCAATCATTCCATGGCATGGGTTACGATTTTTGCTATTTGTGCCAACTTTCTAACCAGTACATCGTTGGCAAGTACCAACTATGGCAAATATTGGTTCATTTTGCATGTTGTGTTTATTTCTGACTTGTTGATATTCAATGGCATGTTTAGCTTGCTGTCATGGTGGTTCGATTACGAGTATTTCATTCGGGATCATCCTTGTCGTTATGGTTACTGTCATTTATTGGGTTTGCGACCTTTTGTTTTTCTGTGCCAGCCAATATTCTCGGAATACTATCCAACGTTGATGTCGTTGCAGATCGAAGTTCCATATTTTTTTCCAGTCCACTGATTGGAGTAAGCCATATCGAGTCCAAGTATTAAACATGCCATTTCAACTTTATTAACAACCATGTTTTTTTGCAACTACTGCATATATAGCTTACTCGCGAGTTGTTTGCATTCACATTCGTATTACAAGGTCTGTTTACATCGTTGGCATCAATATCATTTCTCTGGTCACTCTGCAAATCCATTGGATTTACAGGAAAAGGATTCGTGTATCAAGTTTTGCTAAAACGGGAAGGTCCTCGATTTATTGTCATATTTGGACTCAACATCATTGTTGCTGGATTTGCAGTGCATTCATTCCTATATGATCCGACGCATGTTACATTTTCTGGATGGTACATGCCTCCCATGATTTATGCGATCGAGATTTATACGTTTTTATTGACGAGTTACGTCGAGCCTAGAAGTTTATTGCAACAAGTGCAGATGGAAACAGAGTATGATGGAAACAACATGAAAGAACAAACTACTGATGTAGCGAGTCAAACTTACAGAGTGCCTACCAATAGTCCATATGAGATACTATAGTTTTGAATAGTTTCATTATTTGATTTTGAAATAGATGAACACTGCAGAAATGAAAATCAAATTGTATATCTGCCATTCATATCCAATTGTTGGTATAGCGATCCAGATCAGTTTCAAGCAAACATCCATTAAAAGTTTGAACCATTGCATTAGATGTACACGTTTGTGTATAATATTGTCAATGAGTTTGAACACAATGACCATGTCAACAATCTCGAACCAGTGTTTTTAGTCTGCTGGCATACAAATTCCAGTCGACAACTACAGTGATATTGACAACACCCCATACTATTGATGCAACTGTCCATATATGCTACCAGTAAACTCGTAAATTGGCTTAATATATAGTTTTAATTGTGTATTAGATATTCGGGTTAAAATCAGCCCAGGTATATCCAGCAATACCAAAACAATTGATAGTCAATACAGCACTATTGCATTGTGTTAGAAACTATAAAATCGAGAAGGAAGTCGGGGCAAAGACCAGGTGCTTGTACTAGTTGGAATCAGGTAACACATTGATAAAACTCATATTTTCTTGAACCACCTGCTCGTTTACTCTTGTTTTCCTTTTACTTTTTACCTTATTATTTCAAAATCCCACCATGGAAAACTACGTGGAAGCTCTCCAAAATGTCATTCAAAACATGCAGAACGAAATCGCTGCCCTGCGCGCGGAGCGCAGTATCCCACAAGTACAGGCTGCGTTGAGCATACCTCCCCCAGACAGGATAACGGAGATCGCTCCAAATTCACAACTTTTGTCAGCCAGTGCAATTTGGCCATGAGAATGCACACGACCCAGTTCCCATCCGACCAAGCGCGAGTCGGATTCATGATCAGCCTGCTCACAGGCCCTGCTGCAGAATGGGCGACTCCGTTACTCGCGTCCAATGACCCAGTTCTAAACTCGTTGCCAGAGTTTATCAATCTCTTCCGACGACAATTTGATGATCCTGACAGAGAGCGCACTGCTGAAGCGAAATTAAAAAACTTCGAGCAAGGCCAACGCTCTGCGCAGATTA